CCGACTTTGGAAAGCTTGTGTAACAAGCGGATGAAACGGTGCAAATATTCAAATAAAAAGGGCAGGGGTATCGTTCTGTAAGGAACGAGGAAGGAGAGCCGAGACAGCCTCGTGACCGACCGACAGAGAGTGAGAGCCGAAATCAAAGTGGTTGTTTCCAGAAAGCTAGCCTTAACAAGGTTCACAACGCCAGCAGAAGCATTGTAACCTGTCCTGCGCAAATATATGGGGAGAATCCAATCACGAAGATTGGAGCAGGTCATGGCAAGGGGAAACAGATCTTTATTGTCCAGGAACCCGGATACCAGACTAACAGTATCTTCATCGAGGTCACCAAATGTTTTATGATGAAGCAAGACAGAAGGCTGTGTAGCACCTGATATGTGCTCTGGGAGGTCATCAGGTAGTTGATAACAGCGCACACCATATTTAGCACATTTGACCGTTGGACACTGAATGCTCAAAGCTCGAAGCAGAGGATAAATCCTATCCTCTGAATCAAACCCCGTTAGCAATCCCAGGAACTCAATCCTTCGAATGCCGGTGAACATCCTAATCCATCGTACCAAAATTGCCGTCAAGTAATCCATGTGAGGTTGCTCGAGGGGGTCAAAGCTGACCAGTAGACTCAAGTTCTCGAATCCAGAAAACATAAACCGTCTGTCACTAATGACGTGTAGGTCTAGATGGGTCAGCATCGAGAAAACTGGGTCAGCTGGGTCATCTTGCTCTAGAAAGGGGTATCTGTGTTTCCAATGAACCCTCTCAAAGCGTGGAATGTTCAGCTGGATAGTGTCCAGGAGTTTGCAAGTTTTGGAACGGGATAGTGTTGTTGTGAGAAAGTCCTGTGTTTCACCTGAAAACAATGATCTACCGCCTTGGACCATCCTGAGAGTACGAAGACTTGGTAAGTCATGCCCTAAGAGTGTTGCGCAGTAGTGAGTTGGTGCGTATATGTCGCGTAGGAGGGAAAATGAATGACGATCATTGATTGCGGGCTGTGGCTGATGAAGATGCCATTGACGATTGAAGTCTCCATAACACGAAGATTGTTCAATGAACAATGAAGTGAGTTGGCGAAGTTGAGTGAGGAATAAAAGGAAGTCAGGTGGAGAGATGCCTTTTGGGTCAATGGAAAGACTGGATAAATGGGGCAGATACAATGTGATTCCTGATAGAACAGGTAACCAGCCATCCCCCCAACAAAGGGCAGGCGACCAAGGCCGAAATGACATCGAAAGGTTGTCAATATCCAGTAGTATTTGGGAGGCTTTTAGCCAATGAACGAGGTCAGTTCCTCCGGTCGACCACCGTAGGCTCCTGAGGCGGAATCGGTGATGCGTCTCGTTTGCCAGTGTATGGTTGGTGTTGCACGATGTGCCTTCCCAACTACAAGGTGGCGGATAAGTCGGGCAAGGGCCTATCGCACCCGAACTAGGTGCACAAAAATAGTTCTGCGAAACCATGACGCCAGATGGTCATTAACGCGAATCCTGTAGAGAGAAACACGCCTACCTCACGTAGAACGGCATCAGAGTTAAACCAACTATTTGTACGTGATAGAATGGTACGCCACAGTAGCCGATAGCGAAGAGGAAATGCACCATTCAAACATTTAGGCGGAAGTAGGGGAAGGGAGTCTTTCATATATCCAAGGGTGTAGCCGTCGTAAGCCCGAGAGAAGTTGGAATGTTCGAAAAGGATCATCGTGCAGGATATAGAACAACGATGGACGACCGTGCATACGAGATCCTTGTCAATAGAGGATTCTTCACCGGGCCATTGGATGGAGAAAATTCCAAAATCAAGGCTGCCTGCAGTTTCCGCTTTCAACGCCAACAGGTCCAGCAAGCGCCGGAGATCCGCAGAAAATGTATCCTCGGATTCGTGTCTGAAGGTACAATAAAAGCTGCTTAAACGCACGGGGAAGAAAGAAAGCTTGAGAACGGATAATATTTCCTGGTTTTCAGGGAGGGTCACTCTTAGCGTACGTTTCCTTGGGGAGCCCGGAGGGCCGAAGATATAGGTGTCCAAAGGCGCGTGACGGTTCAATAAAACCGTATAGGCATGGAAATTGAAACGTCGGCAAGCTAGGCCCACAGCTCGAAGTGCATCTTGATCTGTGTGGTCCAGAATTTGTTGTAAGATGTTGTGCTCGACGCTCTGAAATGCCATGCGTAGCGCGATAGAGCCGGATTTTACTAAAACAACTTCAATATGGTTAGCACTGGGCCGAAAAGGAAAACATTTTGCTTACTCCTTTTTGGATCTTTGCACGCCAGGAAGGAATAATTAGACCACGACGATGGTGGGTGCGCCGAACTTCACCGTTATATACTGCAGACGGCGATTCACGGGCCCGGGCCAATATGACAAGATATGACTGAGCACCTTGCTCCGAATCCGATCCACGCGGTGACACCAGGCAGGCGCTTATTTCTGTGCGCTACAACTTTGGCGTGGAAACGCGCGTTAAACTTTTTTTTTGGTGGGACCGTGCTCTTCGAAATACTTCTGATACTTTCTACCAGATTCTTTGATGCTAATGCACGCGCTGCTGCCAACTTTGTCACCCATCGCGAAGTTCAAGATCACCCCTCTCCGAGTGATGGTCTTCAGCTTCAAGTTGGTCCAAGCCTCCCAAGGTATCTCTGAGCACAAGTGCCTCTTGAAAAGATTTTCGCTGCAAGCCTGACTATCCTGCGGCTGTCGAGTAGAAAATTCCATGGAGCAACGCAGGAAGCCCATCATGCAGCGCTCTTGTAAGTTTTTGAGTTAAAGGAAAGGGAAAGAAGCGTAGTACTAGTAAGCATTACCAACCACAGTGAATGCGGTTCAATGGTCTAGTGGTTATGATTTCTGTCTCACATAAACATGGGTCACAGAAGGTCTCCAGTTCGATCCTGGATTGAACCAAATTTTTTGGATTCCTTGGCTCCTCAGCTACGTACTGCTGTCAGTCTCTTACACCGCAGTTGCTGAGGCCGTTTCATAACTACTTTTAAAATATAATTAACACCGGGTCGTATTCTAAGTCCATTTTGACGAGGGGGTATATACAATTATAACGACTCTCATGATAGTGCTATCCGGGCTTCTGTGGATGCTGGACGACTAGGGATG